CGGGCGCGGGTGCGGGCGGCCTCGCGCCCTGGGCGGCCCGGAGCCGGGCCAGCTCGCCCGAAATAGCCGGCGGCGCCGGGGCCGAGGGCTGTAACCGGAGAGCGCGCCGGCCTCGGCCTCCTGCTGCTGCGGGTGCCGGGACCCTCCCGCAGGCGGAGGGCGCCGGGCGGGGGGCCATCGCGGCCGACCCCGGGCCGGGGCGAGAACCCGCTCTGCGGGAGGGCAGACCGAGGCCCCGCAGGGGCTGCAGGGGCGCGGGGGCGGGAGCCTGGGCTGCCCCCGCCCCCCCAAAACGCACAGGGAGCACCCGGAAAGCTACGCCCTGTGCGCCTGGGGGGTTGAGTCGCGACACTGCACCAGCCTGAGGGGGGGCGTCCCCTGGGTGCGGACCCAGCGGCCCTAGCAGCTCCCCCAGGTGTAGAGGAGGGGGTGCAGGAGGAAAGGGGTCGCCTCTGTGCTTGAATCAAGTGCAGTCCGGCTGGTTGGGGGGACCGGGCACAGGCCCGCGGGAGGCACCCCAGCCTGGGAGGCCAGCGGGAGCCGGAAGTCGGGAGTTTTCCTCCTCAGCCAGCGATGGGGAGCGTGGGAGGCTGCGCAAGTGGCTGCAGCTGTTTCAGGAGACAGGTGTCCTGGAGCCGGCCCAGGCAGCAGGGGTCTGTGCGGGATGCTGGGGGAGTCAGTGCCCGCTGCCTCCCACGTGTGGGGCCACCAGGGAGTCTTCCGGGGCGTGGGCGGCTGTCGTTTCCTAGGGAGGGTGTGGGGGCCCCCTCCCTGTTCCCCTCCTGGGTCCCCTCCTCTGGCCCCTCTGCTGAGCCTGCTCCAGGTGCCTCGTGGTTGCAGAGCGAGGGCCTGCTTCGGCCACAGACACACTCACTTCCTGCTGCTGGGGCCGGGCTCCCTGCACGGCTCATTCATCCAGCCTTTCATGCTCAGACCCTGTGCCTGGTGCTCTGGGATCCTCGTCCTGGGGAACTCCAGGGAGGCCTGGGGCTGGGGCAGGGGCTGGGGAGACAGGGGCCCTGGAGGCGGGGAGTGGAGGGGCAGTGGAGGGGCTGTGGGGACAAAGGCCGGCAGTGATGGTGACAGTGAAGGGCTCTGGCCAGCTGTGCTGTTGCTCGGTGGGTCTGTGGTGAGGGGGGCCTGTGCAGACCTCAGACGCGCGCCCTACTGAAAGGGCAGCCCCGGGGTTGGTCTTTGTCCCTTTGTGTGGGGGGTGGAGGGGTGTGATTTGCAGCTTGGCCGTGGGTTTTATCTCAGCGTCAGAGAGCCATCTGAAGGGTGAGCTCCAGCCCTGGGGGACACCTGTGGGGGCCCTTCTGCACTGGGGAGTTAGCAGTGCCTCCCTGGGTTTACCACGTGCCCAGGACCAGCAGAGAAAGCAGTTGCGGTGTGAGTGTGCCCCAGAGTCTGGGGATGGAGGAATCTCCCCCAAGGGCCCTGGGGCTGGATTTGAGGGGAGCTGGAGAGAAGAGGGAAGGACACTCCAGCAGGGCCTCGTACGCACCAAGCCGCCAAGGCCATGGACAGGGTGACGGGATTGGTCAGTGGAGGGCACATTCTGTCCCCTCTGAGTGGCCCTCCACCCTGAGCCCTGCACCTACCATCTCATGTCCCTGTATCAGCGTCTCGGAGCCCCCCCTGTCAGCGTGAGGAGTGCAGCCATCTTACAGATGCTTGCCCACAGGCAGTGTCTCAGGGATGAGACCCCCATCTGCCTCACTGCCCAGGGCTGGGGCTGTGCCCCCGTCCAGGCAGCCCCTGCTCAGAGCCCGAGGCAGCCCTGGCCCTCCGCTACCTGCTCTTGGCTGATGAGCCGGGCCCTCTCCCTGGCTGTGAGACCAGTTCCCACCGGTGGAGTCAGGTGTGGGGGGAGCAGGTCTGAGTCCTTGAGGACCTCACAGCTAAGACACCCCCATATCCTGAGTGAGGCAAAGAGGGGACCCTGTGAAGGAGTGAGGGGCTCAACCCTGCCTTCTTGTCGTAAGAAACCCAGGACTCTTTGTTTTAACCGTTGTTTTCTTCCCAGGAGGGCCCACGAGGGAGTTAAGAGGCTCCCGGAGCAGGCGGGCGCGAAGGGCACCTTGTCCCTGTGTGCCCTTTCTCTCGTTTGCACTCTTCCTAACCAGGAGCTCTTCTTAGAACAAAGTTTAGTCAGTGAGAGAAAGAAAAACGTCTTTAATTAAAGAAGCGATAAGCCTTTCTAAAAGGCTGTGATGCTTGCGTGGGTTTGTGTCCCTCGAGGTCTTAACCTGTGTCCTGGCCAAGGAACTCGTGCCTGGGTCCCCTCTGGTCAGGGGCCCAGCTCTGGTGACTCTGGGCACCCTCTCTCTTCTCCCCAGTTGAGGCTTCGGATGTGGGAAGGGGGTGCCGTGTGGCAGGAGGGTGTGGCTGGCGGATGAGGCGTCCAGAGGCGCTTAGGGAGCAGCCAGCCAGTCTGGTCGGCTCCCTCGTCACCACACTCAGGGGACCCTGCTTCACCCTGTCCCTCGCGCAGGTTGCCCAGGGGCTCCATCCAGCACAGAAAAGCCACCAAAGGGGCCCTGAGTCCTGGAGCTGGTGAGGCCTTTTGGGATCATTATAGGCAGAGGGCTGAGGCCCAGAGACCCAAGGAGCCCAACCACGGACGGCTGGGGGACTGCTTCCTGTCCCCAGCCCCCAGCCCCCAGCTGCCCGTGGCAGGCTGGAGGTCAGCACCTGCTCCACCACTGACAGTGGGCATTTGTTCAGTCTCCCTCAAGGTCAATGCTGAATTCCTAGAGGGCTGGGCGCCCCCAGAGCATCACCCCTCACAGACAGCCTGGCAGGGCTGGGGACTTGATGAGTGCTGTGAGCCTGGCCAGCCCTGGAACGGGAGCCATGAGGCGCGCGCCCCCTCCCCATGTAGTTGGCGGCTCTGCTGGGGTGGGTGTATTCTGGGAGGACAGGGGCCCTGGGTGGTGGTGATGGGGAAGGCCCCCTCCCGGGCCACACCTCCCGGCTTTGGATTATTGGTGTGCCATGGGGAGGGGCATGGTACCTGCTCCCTGATGGGCGGGCAGTGCGTGGACAGGGTGTGGTGTGACAAGCCCTGTTGTCCCCCTGGAGCCCTTGCAGAAGGGGTCAGGGCTTCCCGTGGCCCCTGCTTCAGGCTTGGGAATTGTAGCCTTTCAGCTCAGATCTCAGCTATGCTCCCACAAAGCATGTGAGCTGCACGGTGTTCTTCAGCACTCGTCGTGGTCCCTGCTCGGGATGGACGGGCAGTGGGCCCCACGGTGCCTCTGTGAGCCCGCACGGCCCTCCTGGTGCCACACGTGCACACCGTGAACGTGCGTTTTTCCTGACTCGGATGAGGAGCAGGCCTGGGCCCGTGCACTGGATTCTGGGACCTGCAGGTCAGACAGGCGCCTCCTGGCTGCAGCCTGAGGCACCTGAAGACTGGCCAGGTCGGTGGGGGGGGGGCAGCCCCGGCTGCTTGGGGCTTCCCCCAGGCTGCGGCACCCTCCACAGGGTCCCTGTGAGCTCCTGCAGGGCCACTCTCCTGAAGACACTGCCTCAAGGTCACTGTGACCTCCGAGGGCTCGCTCCAGCTGCTGCTCCTCCGGCCTCTGTCACAGGCTCCGGCTGTGTCCCCGTGGGCGTGGACCTCCATCTCCTCCCCGGCTGGCTTTCCGTCCTTGTCCTCGGTGCTGGGTCCCCCCCCACCCCCCCACCACCCCACGGAGCCGGGAGGTTTGTCTCTTCCCAGTCGCCCTCCCCACTCAGCCGCGGCTGTAAACGCCTTCGGGTGCTCATGACTCCACGGTTATTTTTACATCCAGCTGCTTAAGTGTACGCCGCCTTGTGTCTGGTGGGCCTCTCGGGCTCTCGTGCCCAGGGCAGCACCCCGACCCTGGCTCCTGCCCCGGGAACCCCGTCCTTGGCTTCTCTGCCCTGCCCGAGCCCGGCACCCCCTCCCTCTTCCTTTCTGTCACCTGTACATGCTGCTCACTGAGAGGCCCTGTGAGTTAGGCAGCCTCAGGTGGAGGGAAGGCCCCTGCAGGCTGTCACCTCTCAGGCTCTGCAGAACCCAGAGAGCCTCCGGAGCCTGGAGGGGGGGTGCTTTCTCCAGGCCGGTCTAGGCCGGCAGCTCCTCTCTCCCGAACAGCTGCAGGCGGCCTGTGCTTCTACCCGTGCCCATTCACATGCCCCAGGGCCAGGTCCTCTTTGCTTAGAGCCCTCAGGGCTCCCTGGTGCTGGGAGCGAGGCTCTTGGCCTGGCTCGTGGGCCCTCCTGACCTGACCACCTACACCTGGGATCGCTCTGCCCCTCCCCGTCCTGTTGGCCCTCCCCTTCAGGTCCCTGCCTCTGGGCCTTTGCACTGGCTGTTCCTTCTAGCACAGTGCCATTCCCAGTGGGGCTGTGAGCCGGCTCCTTACATCGTCCCCTCTGGGAGAGCCTCTGACCCTGAGCTCAGCCCCCAGGACAGCTGCTGTCCTCAGCGCCTGTTGCCATTCCCCGAACAGCACTTACGCAGAGCTTCTCTTTGTCATCCGCTTCAGTGTTTGACTGTCTTCCCTTTTGAGTGTCAGCTCCGCAGGAGTCGGGCTGTGTCCCCGGGTCCCTGAGCTGCGGGCAGGAGGGCGAGGCTGTGGCACAGAGCGGGAGGTAGGGGTGGGCCCCCCTGAGAGGCCCCGGGTGGGTCTTTCAGTGGCCCTGGTGGGGAGCAGGACTCCGAGCAGGGCGCTGGCTGCCTTTGGGGCATTTGCCTTTTCTGCCCCAGTGCCCACCCTCGCCACTTCCTCCTGCACTGCAGGGTCCAGGTGAGCTAGCCTGGGGGGGCGGGTGACGTGCGGTCCAAACCGCATCCCTCCCGGTGTTTAATGACCTGGGACTGTCCCGGGCACTGGGCCCAGGTCCCAGGTCCCCTGCTCGTCCCGCTCTTTGCTCGCTGGCAGTGTGACATTGCCGGGGATGTCTGCGTGCCACTCTGGGCACCTCAACTCTGCGGGGTGGGTGGTGCCTCTTTCCCAGATGGAAAGCAGAGGCCCCCGAGCTGAGGGACGGGTCCCTCACAGACATGCGGTTGGAAGCTCGTGTCAGCATGCGAGTGAGTGGGGGAGTGTGCGTGCGTGGGCCCCACTGGTCCTCACCGCCTGGGGGGACACCTCTGGCACCTGCTGCGTGCCTCCTTTCCCCCGACATTCCCCTTCCTCTCCATCCTGCCGTGTACCGCCGGGCATGGGGGGAGCCCGACAGAGGCCACCTGAGTGGGGTGGCCGGTGTTCTGGATGGGAAGGCCAACAGGGCCGCCTCAGCCCTCACCAGGGCACCTCGCCAACTGTCCAGTCCTGCTGGGCTTCCTGCGAGGGGCGCTCCCTGCCTGGGTCCCTGGGAGGAGCTGGCCAGCTGGGGCGGCCCCAGCCTTTCTGTGCCCAGCGTGTCCACTGACCCTGCTTTGTGTCAGGTCCCCGACCGAGAAGTTCCGTTTCTCCACTGCCTGTTACTGTACCAGCTTTGCATGAAACGGCCCTCCTCACAGAATGGGTTTTAAAAATAGGATCAATTTATTGCCCAAGGTGATGGGGAGAAGGAAGGGCTGGAGTGTCACAGGCCCCCACTGGGCCCCACACGTGCTGCCCCCAACCCACTTCTAATAAAGCCACGCTGCTGGGCGGCCTGGGGACACTGAGTGTGGGGTGGATGCCAGCTGCTCCAGTGACCGGGGCGGGACTCGGGTCAGCTTCCGCCAGCTCTGTCCCTACCCTGCTTTGTTCATATTTAATAATGAAACCAGAGACTTGGATGGAGTCTTAGCTTCCTGGGGCGGTCATAACAAATGGCCACACCCGGGGGGCTTAAGACAACAAAAATGTCCTCTCTCACAGCCTTGGAGGCTGGAAGTCCAAAGTCAAGATGTCTCAGGGCCGCGTTCTCGTGCTAAAGTCAGTAGCGGAGGCTCCTTGCTGCCTCTTCCAGCTCCTGGTGGCCCCAGGCGCTCCCTCCATGACGGCTTCACACGGCCTCTGCTCTGTGTGTCTGTCTCCTGTCCTGTCTCTTATCAGGACGCTTGTCATTGGAGCAAGGGCCGCTCTGACCCAGGATCATCTCATTCTGAGATCTGATCACAGCTGCCAAGACCTTTTCCAAATAAGGTCACGTTGCAGGTTCTGGGGGTCAGGATGTAGACATATCTTTTGGGGGCCCCCATTCTTCAGCCCATTACAGATGGGTGAGGGTGCTTGTGGGTTCTCAGATCTCCTCAAGGAGTAGGGTGTGAGCTGCTTTCCGGACACAGCCAGAATCCAAAAAGATGGGGCATTCCTGCGGGAGAAGCTCTCAGGGACAAACGTTGGCTCTCGCACACGGGCCCCCGAAATCAGGCTTGCATGCGCAGATGTCTAGGATGGGGCACCTGCTCGGCAGCAGGAGGCCTCAGGAAGGTGTGAGGAACTATGGGGAAACACAGTGCCCTTTGTAGCAACTCGACTCTACACCAGGAGTCCGCAAACCATGGCCCTGCGCCAAATCTGGCCCACTGCTTGTTTCTGTAATAAAGTTTTATTGGAACACAGCCATTCACTTACATGTTGTTAGCTGTTTTTCTAGCTAAGTAGTTGTGCTCAAGACTGCACAGACCACACAATTGAACATAGCTACTGTTGGGTTCTTTATAGAAAGGTTTATTGACCTTGCTCTTGGTTATATTACTGGGAGTATAACTCCTAGAACAAAGGAGGTGACAGCCACGCTCTGCCTTGCTGGTCAGGCCATGCCTAAAGCGACAGTCTTTCATGTGACAGAACGTCCCCACCCTCCTCTGTGCCAGGCGATGGGACTGTCACTGTGCATGAGCAGAAGTGGGCCTGCTTTCAAGAGCTTACCTTCTGAGTGGGAGGGGGAGACGGCAAGTAAACAAGGGACAGACAGCCAAGAAGAATAACCTCCCTGAGGGATGCCGGAGCCTGCTGTGGGGTGAGGGACGGAGAAAGTGGGTGTGTGTGGGGTGGCGCCATCCCAGGTGTGGGTGGCAGGGCTGTCCTCACGCACCCTGGGCTCCCATCACTAGCTGCCCGCTGTCCTCTGCTGCTCCCTTTGTCCCAGGTGAGGCCTTTACCGCGGATCTTTTACCGTGGCCTTTCTGGGATCACTACCTCCCTCAGTTCTTACTTCCCAGGCCTCTGGTGACACATTTGAGAGACACATGCCCTTTTTGCTGCCTGTGTGACTGATTTCTCTCTGGGCTGGGTCGCACCCCCTCTTTGAGGCCAGCTTGGGAGAGAACACGCCAGAACCCTCAGATGGGTTTCTGGGGGTTTTTTCCCTCTCAAAATGGAAACATCTTTGCTTTTTTCTGATATAAGCATTTCAAACACAATGGACAGGTTCTCAACTAGGAAGGGAAGCCCCCATCACCATGTCCCCCCGTCTCCTGAGTTTGTAACACAGGTTTCTGGGGACACAGTCACCTGCTGTCAGGCCACAGAGCAGCCAGGACGGGGAGCCTGGGGACCGCCAGCCTCGCTGCTGCTCTGAGGCTGGGACCTTGGTCCGAGGGCCCGGCAGGGCAGGGAGCAAACCACAACTCTGCAACTGGTTCTCATCCCGGCACGGAAGTCAGCCTCAGAGTCAAGTTCATGTGGGATTGGGATTTTCAAGGAATAAGAGGAAGCATCGCTGCCCTGCTCTCCTCTCGTCCTTGTCCTCGTCCTCGGGTGCTGTGTCCCTCCCCTCCTGCACCGCCAGGAACTGGCCAGGTGTCTCCAGCTTGCAGGCAGGATTCCGGGTTCTCACACCTAAATGTTTTGGTGTCACATTAGGTCCTCAAACGCTGCACCTGCACCAAAGCCTCGGCCTGGGGGTGGGGCAGGATTTGCCGAGCGGACAGAGTGGGGGGTGCAGCCACATTTGGAATGCACCCCTGGGCGACGCACGGCTGCTTGCTTTACTGTTGGCATAACAGGGATGGCAGTTGTGATGCTGAACTTGACAGAGACCTGACTCACCCAGACTCAGGCTTGTCCCCTGTGGCCGGGGACGAGGCTGGAGCTTGTGTACTGGTCTCAGGGATGGGCTTGTGTCGGGTCTGCAGTGGGACCCAAGGCCCAGTGGCCCCCTCCCCAGGGCTGGAGTCCAGGTCACACCTTGGAAACCCAGAGATCCAGGAGGTGAAGTGGGTCTGGGTGTGGCAGGAAGAGGCACACGCAGGGCTGAGGCAGGGGGCCCCCCAGCAGGCTCCATGCTCATCCCCCAAAGCCAACCATCATGGCTCCTGCAGCCCCTGCTCCCCTGAGAGTGACCCCCGGGGGCAGCAGGGCCTGGGCAGGGTGATACGCTGGCAGGGGCCAGGACCCGGCCTTGGGGTCGGTCAGGTGGCAGGCCCAGCCACGAAGTATTCGGGATGCTCTGCCCTTGAGGGCGGGGGTGCCATTCTGTGCACAAGGAAGCGGAGGCTCAGAGTGGCTGGGTGGCTCACTCGGGACCACCCCTCGAGCCCCAGATTCTGGGTGTGGGGACTCGGGGCAGTGGCCATGCTGGCTGGCGCCCCTGATGGCCCCTCTTGCGTGTCCTGTTCGGTGGCCCTGCAGACTGCCTGCTGATGCTGGCCTACAGGGACAGGACGGAGCGAGCCAAAGGCCTCCGGGAGCGCAGCAGCCTGACGCTGGAGGACATCTGCGGCCTGGAGCCCGGCCTGCCCTACGAGGGCCTGGTCCACACGCTGGCCATCGTCTGCCTGTCACAGGCTGTCATGCTGGGCTTCGATAGCCGCGAGGCCATGTGCGCCTGGGACGCCCGGATCCGCTACGCGCTAGGCGAGGGTGAGTGGCAGGGCGCAAGGGTCCGAGGTGACAGCCTCCAACCTTACATGTCCCGAGGGGCCTCACCCACGGGCTGCAGAGGCCATGACCCGACTCCAGGGCATGGAGCAGGGGTGTCTGCTAGGCACCTCCTGGCCCGGGCTCTGAGTTTAGGGCTTCTGCCCAAGGCTGGGGCTGGGGGAGCTCATGGGCCACTGGGGCTGGGGGAGTGCACGGGGCCGGGCTGGGGGAGTGCACGGGGACACTGGGGTTGGGGGAGTGCACGGGGCCACGGGCTGGGGGAGTGCACGGGGACACTGGGGTTGGGGGAGTGCACGGGGACACGGGCTGGGGGAATGTGTGGGGCTGCTGGGGACTTTCCAGCTGCCTGACCTGACCCCGTTAGTTAGAACTAGAGTCTTTGACCTCAGTGTGTGGGTGTCTAAGCAGAGTGCAGAGTGACCTTCCAAAGTGCACCCTGCCCTGGCCACCCGAGCCCAGAGCCAGGGCGAGAAGGAGCAAATGTCACAGGTCACCGTCCTTCTGAGCCCCCCACACAGCCGTGTGGCAGGTCCTACACTCTGAGCTGGGACGCGAGGGCGACATTTGACTGGACTCCTTGAGGAGGGGAGAGAGGCCAGTGGTCTGGGGGTGTGAGTTGTGGAGGTGGCCTCGCGCGCCTCACCCCAGCCTGGCTGCAGACAGCCGCCACTCCCTTCTTCAGGAGTCCCCGGACCAGGCGCTCAGTGCAGACAGCGGGGAGGCTCAGCCGGGGCACAGGGGGGAAAGGAAGGGTCTCCAGCTGGGGTTCCCGCCCACTCACCTGGCTCAGAGGCACAGCCCCCCTTTCCCTTATGGAGTGGGGTGACATGGCCGGCGCTGTGGCAGAAGTCATGACGAGGACACTGGGTGGGCTCGCTGGCACCCAGCTCCTTGGCCAGCACATTATCAGCCTGACCTCCTTGCCCGGCGCCCTTGACACCCCCGTTGTAGGGGCTCGGGGAGAGGCTTCAGGCGCCAAGGGCTGAGCTGAGACGGGGACGCGACCTCAGGCAGCACGATAATTGTGCTCAGAGCCAGGGAGACCCCTGACTGAAGAGGGGAGGGTCCCTGTGGCCAGGCCGTGCTGTGAGGCAGACTGCAGACACTCCACAAACTGGCGCAGGCTGGGCCTCCCTGAGCCTCAGTTTCCCCATCTGTGAAATGAGGCCACACTGGCCACCTGGCGGTCTGTTTCCCGAGAGGAGGTGCTCTGTGAAGAGGGTTCGCACGCAGGGCGTCATCAGCAGCCTCATGTGAGGAGCTGTCACGGGAGCTTGGCTGTTAGGGCGGGGAGAAGGGTCGGGACGGCCTCTCCGAGGACTTGCCCGCTCCTGAACAAGTGCAGCTCCTGAAGGGCGGGCGAGGTGAGTTCAGCCCCCAGGCTGGATGCTACCGGGAGAGAGCAGCTGCTGAGGGCCAGGCCTCGGTGTGGGCAGCCCTGTCCCCGGAGCCAACACCTGTCCCCTCCCTGCCCCTGCCCCCGGTGATGCCCTCCCGCCCCTGCCTGGCCTTCAGTGCACAGGTTCCATGTGACGGTGGCTCCAGGCACCAAGTTGGAGAGCGGCCCTGCCACCCTCCACCTCTGCAACGATGTCCTCGTCGTGGCCAGGGACATCCCTCCGGCCGTCACGGGGCAGTGGAAGCTGTCCGACCTCCGGCGCTACGGGGCCGTGCCGAATGGATTCATCTTTGAAGGCGGGACCAGGTGTGGCTACTGTAAGTATTTGGCCGTGGGGACCCAGCAACCCTGGACCCCACTGGCACACACTCTGCTGGCGTCTGGGGACATGCGAGGGTGATGTCGCTCAAACCGATGCTTAGTGCTGAGAACAGACCCATCTTTCCTGCTGGGGTGGGGAGCCTGGGGGTGCTGGGAGAAAGAGAGGGGAGACCCCCGGCACGAAGCCACGCAGGAGGCCCCAACATCTCTGGAGTGAGCCTTCATGTCACCATTCGTGGCCCTGCGTCTGAGGACACAGAGCATCAGAGCTGCTCATGTTCTAATTTAATGAAAAAAAAAAAAGAATAAATATGATCGTTGAGGACGTGCAGAGAAACATGTCCACACATGTGTGGACCAAGGATTCCTGTGGATGCCCCAGCTCCAGGGCCCGTGAGCCCCCCACACCCAGGAGCAGGGCAGGGAGGGGAGAGCTGCCCAGTGTCACAGGGCGAGGGCCAGTGCGGGGCCCCAGCCCCAAGCGCAGGTGTCCAAGGGGAGGTGAGTTCCAGCTAGCTGACCTCCGGGTCCCTCATACGTGAGTCTGGGGCCGCTGTGGAGGTGGGGCTGTCCCAACGCCCCCTCCCTGCTGTTTCCCGTAGGGGTGTGCACATGTCTGGGCCCCTTCTCGCCTCATGCCTGTGTGCCCAGGTCTTGCGGTGGGGCTGGGTGACCTCCTGGTGACCTGGCCCGTGGCTGAGATGACAACGGCCAGTGTGCTGGGTCGGCAGTGAGCCTGGGTGGGCCATGCACTGGGTTTAGCTGGGCCCCATCTCCATCCAGCCCGGGGCTGCTGGGAACCTCTGTCCAACCGCCCCCGCCCCCCGAGTACATGAATCCCCGGGTGCAGCCTCTTGTAAGGAAGGAGAGGAAAGGCTCACGCAGGGCCCGCACCGCTCTCGGCGCGGCCGGCGGGGCCTGGGTTTCTCCAGACAGAGCCAGTGCCCTCGAGGACGAGGTTGTGCTGGCTGCTGGCTGCTGGCTGCCCGGTCCCCTCATTCTCAAAGGGCAGGCAGCTGAGACAGTCAGATGTGGGCACGTGTTCTGCCACCGTGCCGGGCTCTGGGAGCAAACCCAGTGGGTCTGCAGTGGGAGGCAGCTCGGTGGGTGGCCCGCAGGCCTGTCTTTGAGGAGACAAATGCAAACTGTATCCAACTGACTCTGCCCATGATGGCTGGGCCCTGGGCTTGGGGAGGCTGAGTTTGGAGATGCAAAAAGGGGGGGGCAGGGCAGTTTGGGGCAGTGGCCCCTGGAGCTGGCAGGGCGGCCGCAGCTAGAGTCTGAAGGGCCTTGACCACAGCCAGGCCTGTGGGCCCCGACCCGGGGCTTCCTGTGGGGAGGAGCACAGCAGTCGGCCTGCCTGCCCTGGGCTGGCACGGAGGGGCCGGATGGGACATCGGCCAGAGTCCCCTCTGCTGGACAAGCCCTCAGGCCACCTCGTCTTTCCATGTTAGAGGTCACAGCACTGGTGTCCAGAGCAGCCGGCAGGCATGGGGACCCTCACCCAGCTTTGTTCCCTCGTGTGGACAGTCAGGAGCCACAGGCCACAGTGCCCCCTCCTCCCGTGTTCCCCTCCGAGCACCCCAGAGGTGGGGCACCCGTGTCCCCTTCTCTCTGCTCGCCCCTGGGCCCGTGGACATAGTTCCTGGTGCTGGCCTTCCCGGCAGTCGCGGCTGCTTTAAGGACTGGGGTGCAGGCCGCCTAGGGGTGGTGCTGGCTTGCGCCCTGCCCGGGGCCAGGCCAGCAGGGCCGTTTCCCTGGAGACCTGTTTTATTTGCCGCAGACATAATGTAATAGGGCCCATTGGATATTTTTCCTCTGATGCCTCAGAGTTTAAAATGCCGACTCTCGGTGTGGGTGGGTTTCTCTTCCGCTTGTAAACAGTTCCGGACATCAGAGCAGTGGTTCTGGGGGTGGGGTGGGGGCAGAGGCTGGAACTTGAGCTGCAGTGTCTCCCTGGGGGGTCGGAAAACCAGGGTGAACTGTCACAGGCCCCCCTGGTGCTTCTCCTGGGCACGGGCTCGAGTCAGCTTCGTCCGCAAGCCCGACTGGCCCGCAGATCTGCTTTGTCCTGCTGGGCATTCTGGGTCCCTTACACTGGCAGGTCCTCCTGTCAAGGGCATTGTCACACCCACGTGAGCCACCGCATTCACCAAGGATCAGGGTCCATGGATGCTGAGGAATTCAGCATGTGACAGGGAGCAGGCCCCCAGGGCTCCCCTCCCACCCCTTGCCTCCTCCGGGTTGGCCATTCCTTCAGCCTCCTGGACACAGGAACGTTCGCAATGAGTTATTTATGCCCCACTCATGGTGTACTTAGAACACACGTGTTTGTCCAGCTCTGATGAGTGCTTTGGTGCCTCGTGTGGACTTTGTGGTCCAAATGCTGGGTGCTCTTGACGGCGCGTCTCTGACCCCAGGAATCGGGGCCGAGGTGGGAATGTGCTGTGGCTTCTCCGGGCCAGGTGCAGGTCCGGGAAGACTCGGGGCCTGTGGGAGATGGACACGAGACGCTTACTTAGTCCTCAGGGAGCCCAGTGGGGCTGGGAGACGGCACAGGCGCCAGCCTGGAGGCATTGGGGAGGCTTTTGGGAGGTGAGCCTGAGCGGTGCCTCTGCTGGGTGAAGAGGAGTTTGCCCAGCCATGAAAGGATTAGGGCAAGGTGGACCAAAACGTGTCCAGACACATGTCAGGTATGCATGGTGACCCGCCCAGCGTGTTCAGGGACAAGGAGGTGGGGGTGGCAGAGGCGAGGCTGGAGAAGCGGGGAGCAGGGCAGATTATGAAAAGCCCAGTAAACTGGACCAGAGCTTGCACTGTGTCCCCAGAGTAGCGGGGAGCCATTGAAGACCCTGGAGTGGGACAGTGCCACCAACAGATCTGTGTAGGGTGATAGGTCTGGCAAGCTTGGCCCCAGGGTGCTCATGGGATTGAGGCAGGGGGCTTTGAGAAGGTTCCGGATGTGGTCCAGCTGAGAGGGGCTGAACTAGCAGCAGCTGTGCAGGTGGGAAGGGCCTGTGGACTCAAGGATGTTAACAAGACGGTGATTGAGGGGGCGGGCAGGAGGGGCCAGGCGGGGGTCCCAGGAGCAGGCCTGCGTCCCTCCCCAGTGCCAGTCCCATTCTAGTGCTGTGCCCATGGGGCAGCCCATGCCAAAGCCCGGTCTCCCTTCCACTCGGCACCAAGGGAGGGACATTTATGATTTGTGGTCATTCAATAAGCACCGCTTCAGGTTCAAACCAGGAGTTCAAGTCCCCTGTCCAGATCTCAGACCACATGTTACATTCCTGACAGGTCTGTGGTCGATTTTACCTCTCTGCTCTGAAACTCCCACGCTGGGGGTGGGAGTTGGGCTGGAATCTGTCACCCTTTCGTCGCCACTATGGTGTTTACACAGGAGGGTGATTCTGGGCGCTGTGTGCCCAGGGAGATGACTGGGAAGGCGAGGTTGCACAGGGCCACCCAGGCCAGGGAGAGATGGGACCTGGGGGCGAAAGCTGCCCCAACAATCACCTTCAGGGGTCCCGCATGACTGGGGTTCCGGGTACTCACTGTATTAGCTCATTGGTCCTCACATTGACCCTACGAGGTATATGCACCACCCCCATTTTACAGACGAGGAAACTGAGGCCTGGAGCCACTCCACCTTGCTCAGGTCTGTTCATCTGAGTGCCCTGGAGCCAAGGTCTGCCCCCGGAGATCTGCCCCACCCCCGGGCCCAGCGCCTGCCTGGCACAGGGTTCAGTGGGGGCCAGGTGTGGGCGTTCAGACCCGGCCCAGCTCTCGGCAGCCTCCGTGCGTCCTCCCAGGGCGTCTGCTCTGTATGTCTCCTTTCAGATAGAGAAGCCGCCCAGGGGACAGGCACATTGTCCCCCTGTCCTCAGGACATGCACTGTGGCCGTGTGAGGGGCCATCTGGACAAGATGGCATGCGAGCCTCATCCCACATCTCCAAATATGAGAAATATGGCCCCTGGGCATCAAGTCCCCTTCATCCCAGGATCTCAGTGACAATGTGTAGCTATCTGCAAGCTCCTCAGACCTCAGGGGCACCTGGGAATGACCCTGACCTCAGTGTCCTCCTCTGCGCCATGGGGCTCCCTGTGCCCTGTGTGCCGTGCTGCGAGGGCGTGGCTTTGTGGGCCCCGACCCTGGCACGCTCACACCCACTGCCCGAGCCCCGCCTCCCAGGTGGACTGAAAATCCTTGGCTCACGCTGCTGCCCCTTCTAGCAGCTTCCTGTGGATTGGGAGTGACCCTCACCTACGGGGAGCCTGAGAGGGCCAGTAGGAGGTCTGTGAGCCGTGTCCTGGGAGGCCTGGTCACAAGGCTCAGGCAGCCCCCTCCCCCGAGATGCACATCCTCCCCCAGGGAGCCCCTGCTGTTGGCTTGGCTGGCGTGGGGGGCGGTGGCCGTGTCCCCAGCCCTCATCAGCCCAATGCGTCTTCCGGAGTGTGACGCTCGGCAGACGCCCCAGTGGAATGCCGCCGGCTCCACTCTCCTCGTAATGTGGTTTTTTATAGTTGGGGGACTGATTGTGCCGTGGCCTCTGCCAGCTGACTGGAGCTTGGGATTAGAAGCCTGGCCCTTTGTGAGCTGGCGGAC